TCTCTCTCTCTCTCTCTCTCTCTCTCTCTCTCTCTCTCTCTCTCTCTCTCTCTCTCTCTCTCTCTTTCTCTCTCTCTCTCTCTCTCTTTCTCTCTCTCTCCAGCCTTTAGTAAATTATGACTGTTAAGCAAACTTAGATCTATATTTAGAGAAAGGGAAAGCAAAGGACAGGGAGGAAGAGTGGGAGAGGAGCTAGCCATAGCTGATACAGGAGCTAACATTGTAGGCACATGAAGAGATGGCTTACGCCGCCTGCTTAAGCCGCCCGCACACAGGAAAGCAAAGGACAGGGAGGAAGAGGGGGAGAGGGGCTTGACACAGCTGATAGAGGGGCTAACATCGTAGGCACATGGAGAGAGGACTTGAACCGCCAGTACACCGGCCCAGCCTTGTGGAGAAATCTTTCAATCGCCGGTGAAAATTCAGAGACTCGGGGCTACTGGGGATCACAATGGCTGGTGGTGCCAGCCAAAAAAGAAAAGAAGTGCGCTGCTGGCCGTTCGGCAAATCTTGGCATGCAGCGGAAAGCCGTCACACCCAGGTGTACTGGTGGTATAAACCACCAGTACAGGGGACCCCTGCAAGCATAACTACCTCTCAGAATTAAGGGCATGCACGCCTAATCAGCGGTCGTCAGGGAGTAGGGTGGAGCCGCTGGTGCGGGGGGCTGTGTATAGGCTTAGGAGTAGTAGTTGGTAGGTAGTGAAAGCTGAAATTGAGAGAAGAATATAGCTTAGTAAGAAGGGGAAAAAGGAAAAGAAAAAACACCAGTACACCCGCTCCTGGAGGCGCTCCAGTGAGCGCCAAGCTTTCCCAAACTTCCAGCGGCGGACTTTTTTTCTTTTTCCGGCTGGCGCCGCCAGCCACTGTGGTCCTGAGGGCCCGAGGCGCAAAATTTTCGGAGTCGGCGACGAGACATTTGCTGCAAGGCTGGGGCCCTGCACTGGCGCCACCAGCCATTCTGGTCCTGCAGGCCCGAGGCGCAAAATTTTTGGAGTCGTGAGAAGACATTTGCTGCACGGCTGGGGCCCTGTACTGGCGGTCTAAGGTGACGCAGTTGGGCTTCGCAAGACATCAAGGACATGCTTGACAAGGCATCGCCAAAGGTAAAGAATGCTCAGAAAGAGGGAAAAAAGGGGGGAAAAAACAAGGGAAAACTACACGGGAGTCACAAAAATGAGTTGTAATTGCAATATGGGCCCAGATACAGTTTGCAATTGCAGTCCGCGCAATGTATACAACCCAGCTTTCTGGCCAGGTAGGGTGCCCAAAGTGAAATTGCAAACTGTACCTTGGCCCATAGTGCAATTATAACTCGTTTTTGTAACTCCCGTGTAGTTACCCCCAAAAAGAATGCTGAGGAGAGAGAACATCGGACTGCTATAGTTGAGTATAATAAATAATAACAGCATTGGATTTCAGTGTTTTTTTTTTTCCTTTCTTTTTTTTTAAGTCATAGACAGAGGTACGGCCTGCAATGTGGCATACATCCTGCTACCGTTGTCTCCCGAACGTAATGCACCCGGATAATGAGCGTATACAAGCTAACTTTCCGGTCCAATACAGTCACAAAATGAGGGTGCGCTGTGATTGGAGGAAGGCGGTAGTAACGGCCCGGCCATACGGGGCGATGCGTCCAATTGCTTATTGTCCGTCGGCTGCACAGAGGAGGTATGGTTGCTGATCGTTTTGATCTAATCATTAACACAACAGCAAAAGAAGTATAATCACTGATGGAATCGTCACGTTCATCTGGATAGAAAGCGAGCACGCCTACGCGACACAAAGAGCCTACGAGCGCTAAAGCTCACACAGGCCTCTTAGCTCAGTTGGTTAGAGCGTCGTGCTAATAACGCGAAGGTCGCAGGTTCGAAACCTGCAGGGGCCAGCACATTATCCC